GAGCTGTCCATGTGCTTTCAAAACAGTGGGCTCTGATGAGGCTGTTTCTAGCAGAGGGATCTTCATCAGACAACAGCCCTGACTGAGGCCTCAGGTTTGCAGGCAGCGGTCACAAACACAAGGACATATTTTTCCCCACAAGATAACAGAAGTTTAAAAATCTCTACAGCAAGGAGCAGAGAGCGCGTTCTGAGTTGCTAAGGGAAACATCACCCTAATAACATCTTCATCATCCCCAGGATATGACTAGGGAGCAAGCAAAAAAAAAAAAAAAAAAAGCTAAAATAAAGTTTTCATCTTGTTATTTCCATTTTCACATCAGCAGTGTCTGTGGCCCAGCCCCGGGAGCGGTGGCCAGCCGAGCTGCACAGGCTCCAGCCACAGCTGCTTTTCTCCTGAGGCAGAGTCTGCTCTGCCCACAAGAAAGTAGCTAGGGAATTATGCTGAGCTAGGCTTGGAAGTGAAATAGCAAATTGGCTGGTTATTTGGTAAAACTTTATTGAGCCATAAGAGAAATTAAATCTTCTGTTTTCTCACACTCAAACATATGCCCACACAAATGCCTCAGATAGGTACCAACTTATGAATGTTATGAGCCAGGCATGCAAAAGCTTGCCTGCCCAGCTTATTGTGCATAACACAACAGTTTGTAACCATATCCTTTCTGACTGTCACACTGAAGGAGAAAGGAGGACGGAAATCTAAGGCTGTGTTCTGTGTGGTCTGGGAAAGAGAGAGTGGATGATGGCCGCAGCAGGGCAAGGCTGCTGTCCTGCTTGTTTCACAAGGTTACAGCCAGACAAGGAGCGAGATTTGAGTTCTCGTCCCCACTGTGCCACTGTTTTATTCTGTGGTCACAGGTAAAAGATGTAATAGGACCATGTCCTTTTTCTCAGATTAAAAAAAGTAATATTCACACCCCCTCTTAGAGCAGTCATGGAGCTGTAATGGGTGAATCTGCATAGAACTTGTAACTGGAATGAAAAAGAGGTTATAGAAAAATAAATTGCTTTTGTGTTTGTCTTACAGGGTTTATATATACTTCAATGAGATGTTTGTTGTAGTGGGAAGAGAAAGGTGGAACGTGAACTTGTTAGTTTTAGTCTTCTAGTGGCATCCCAGCCCCAGAACGGCAGAAATGCTAAGAGGAAAACTGACCTTTTGTCATTTCAAACTGATGTGCGTCCCAGAAGTGCATGAAAAATATCTTTCTACTAGCCCACCTTTTGCACAAGCTAATGCCATTTACATGAAAAAAAAAATCTTTCATGGGCAAACATCTGGGTATAAAAAACTGAGCTTGTCCTTTTCTACACTGTGCAGAGCTTCACTGGAAAGCTTTCCCCTGCAACTTTCAGTTAGACTGCAGTGGGAATATGCAGGGCCAAAATCCACCAACCCACTCATTCTAATAAACTGATGCTAACTAATAATTAATAAGAAAACAAACCTGCTCTGATGCAGGGCAAGTAGGATTACACGGTACAGCAGGACTCCCTAAATCTTGCAGTCTTTAATCATCCTGTCTCTATGATTCGATAGTTTGTCTTTGGACTTTATAAGAATGAATGTTTAGTCTTAACGCTAGCTGAGGTTATGACACGCTGAGGCAGCTCCACGCAAAAAAGCTAACAAAAGGGTTCTTTCCTCACTTTCCTGGGGAATTGCAAATGCTTCTTGCAATTCACTTTTTCCAAGAAAAAGCTTTTTGAAAAATAACCTTCCAATCTTGCTTGCAATGAAATGCATGACCTTTCATATCTCCAAAAAATCTCTGGAATATTATACACAAATTTCAGTTTTCATTAGAATATCCCTTACAGCAAAGTCCCTTTAACATTCACAGTAAAGGAGAACCTAAGAGAAATAGAGGAAGTCCATATTTTAGTCCCTGTTCTAGACTTTGTTTGATGCTATTGCCTCTCATGTGTACACACTCCTTTCTCCATCTCCATCCTTCCTTGTTTGATGTAACTGCAGGGTTAGTTAATATGGCTTTATAAAGAAATGCTCCCCCTCAGTGTGGGACTGACAGTCCAGGTAGATGAAATCTCCTCATAAGAAAGAAGCAGTGCAAATTTCCCTATCAGTCAGCTGCAACTCCACCTTTAACAGTCTATTTGTAGGCACTGGGGTCTCTGCTGAGACTATTCATCAGTGTTAGGTTTAGGGGTGACCTGAGTGAGACAACTGTCCTAGTGGTTGGAAAAGCAGGGAACCAGCAAACTCATTTCACAACAGCTAGCAGCTGAATACAACTTTCAGACAGGCTGTACTCAAACCAGCAACCAAGAACTGAGGAGCTTGCTAGCCTCTTACCAACTTGGAGTAATTTTGTCCCCTGGAATCAAATACAGCAGCAGGACACCCAATAAATATGTCTACAGATCTGTGATTTATTCATAGGGGAAGCCATGGAAATTCCCAAACTCTCCTAAATATCTGTTTCCTGGCTCTAACTAGTCAATAACTTGCCAACTAGGGAATGTATTTGTCTGCTCCCTTCCATATATTTTCTGCTTTTCATTATAATTTTCTAAATAATACATTACAATGAGTTATTTATCACACTCGGCAGCTTCGTGATCCCCCCTCCATCCTGAGGAATTTCACTAATAAATCAGTTGCACAAATATCTGGCTGGCATTGCCATAGTTTTGAGCGTGTTTTTCATTCACATGCCCAGCACCTGCGTGAGTTGGCTGTGAGGCTGCATTAAGACCCATCATCTAAATTAAACAGCATTTCTTTGCCCCAGGATAGCTATGTCTCTATTACTCCTCTCCTTGTGGTCCTTCTGTGGATGCCAGCCAAAGGGCAAAGGGGGAACAGAAATAATAAAAGACAAAAACAACGCAAGAAGAAAGCAAAAGAGAACGCTTTGCTTGGAGCTCCATTTCTCCTGCTCTTATTGTAGGGACTAAATTGGTGGGAGAAGCAGAAATGGCACTGAGAGGTAAATGAAAATAGAATACATTGAAATAAGTGCTCTGGGGATAGAAAGGGGTCCTGGAGGACTGGTGAGTTCTGTGAGGAAGGCCGAATGTTTTTGGCCAAAGCGCTTCAGTGCCTCAGAACCTAACTCTATCAAAAACCAAATTTGCATCTGTGAACTATCAAGAGAGCGAGGCTTCTCTGGGACACTGCAGATCACATAGTACACAAAGAACAAAGCCTGAGGGAGCTAGGGAGACAGTATTCAGCTTTCCAAGTGAGATCACGTGAGTCACTGATGAACACCGCAAAAGTATCTCCATTCCAAATGACATGGTTCAAATATACCTTGCACTCTAATCCTATCCCAAGAAAGCTCTGAGACAACATCTAGAATGACACTAAGCACTTTCCTAAACTTTCCTGTGGATTCTAAATTGGTGGGGAAGGTAAGGCATATAGGACTTTCTAAATGTGATGATAGCACTATCCAGGGATGTTGTTTGCTCCCTAGCTTTGGTGCAGTCTTTGTTTGTAATGCTGAACAAGGAATTTCCCTTCAGAAGGGTATAATAACTCTGCATATCTCTGACCTGTCTTTATAGCCGGGCTTGAGTTTGGTTCCTGTTGCCAAAATGAAGTGGCTTGAATCATTGGTGATCATGCTTCCCAAGATAGAGTACGGATGTGATTCAGTATCACCCATCCCTAGCAGGCACTCAGCTTCTCCAGGCTAGAGACAGGGAACAAGGTAACAGGAACTACTGGTTTGAGTTGAGACCTAAATTTACAGGACAATACATTTACATACTTACTTCTCTCCTGTATTCTATTTAACTTGCAGAGAGCTGTTGTAATGCCTCTAGCAGCTTCATATTTGGAGCATGCAAAGGGTCCCTTGAAAAACTAGCTCTGCCCCTGTTCTCTGTGATCAGTCGTCTGAGAGATGTGGCACTGAGTCCGCTCCTCAGCCTACGGCCTCCCTGCCAATGCTACTAACAAGACAGGCAATCGGTGCCAATGATTTTGGCCATGCAGACCTCTCCATAATGGGACTGGACGGAGGCCACCAAGCACATTTCTATACAAGCCAAAGCTTTTGCTGACCTTTGAGCACTATCCACACAGACTGTATCTGAATCTGTGACCCAGAGAGAACGGACCTGTCACAGATTTTCTCACTCTGGGTACCACCAAACCAGATGTGCACCATTCCTTAAGCACCACTGTGCTTGACGCAAATCACAACTATTAGAAGGGACAGCCTAGCCCTGTGACTAGGATGTGAGCCTAATCATTTCTAGTCATGCCAGATAACTGACAAACAGGGGTTGAAATCTGATTGTTTCTTTATAGAGCTGTAAAAGCTTACAGATGTTGGCACTCAGCTACCGGGCACATTCCAATGGAGAAAAATCCTAGACACCTGTAAATCTGTAAATACTTCAAATGCTCTTAAAAAGGGAGGAACAAAGGGGCTTCTGTTCTGCTCTTCTTTGTTTGGTTTTTAAATTGCACGAGCTCCAATCTGAAGACATTGGAAGCACCCACTTTACAATGTGGATAAGCCACAAAGCAAAAATAACCTAGGTACTTTATACTATACTTCAGGCTTCTGTTGGCATGTCTATATCAGCCATGATTCCTCCTCAGCAGAGTGGGGCCAAGCAGAAGTTACTGCTGACATTCCGATAGCAGCAAAACTGTGCTTCTACTCGTATGGCTTGTTTTGTTTGCGTGTGCGTCTGCATTCATGGAGAAGAGCTGTTTTTGCCAGGACATTGCATCTGGAGGAAGAGTTTTGCTGGTATAGGATTTTAGCTTTCCTATACTAGTAAAGTACTCTGGGTGTAAACATGCGCCAAGTCATACATTTGAGTGAATCTGATCACGTTCATTAACTCCTTGAGTGCTAACTTCTAAACCTTTACCATCTGCTGGCAAGATTTTCAGAAACAAATGAATGGAATCTGGGACAGTGGATTTGAATACGTGGCAATGGATCAAGCTGGCAAGAGGTCTGTGCCAATACACAACCTAGAGCGCATGTGTGTGTATTTGCTTACCTTCAGGACAGGGAGTTTGGGTTCAGGAGACAGCTGGTACAATGGCAGGCATGAATGAGGCAATATGAAGTGATCCAAACCTGAAACAGAGCCAAAAAGAGAGAAAAGCAAGGTAGGGAATGGAAATTTGGCACTAAAGCTTTGTCAGCACTAGAGAACTGAACTGTTTGTAAATGAACCAGCTGACTAGAAGTGATTTAAGCGCAAATGCTGCAGTGCCTCTGGAAGAGCCACACTGGGCCAGGCAGAGAAACGTGGCAAAACAGCCCTGTGTCAAGTGCTGCTCTAAAGCTTCTCGCTGGGACTCCTGGCACAGCCTGCAAGAGCAGCCCTGTACCAGGATGTCTGAAAAGGGGCATCAGAGAGATAAGCTCAGCAGCACCACGGGAAATTGTGGAAGTACAGTTCGAACTCCCATAGCCTAACAGCAAAACCCTGCCTCCCACTCCAGGCACCGCCGCAGCTACGCCGCAGTTCCCTAGCTCTCCCAGACGCTGGAATACAGGGCCTCCATCTGAGTCACAGCTCAGCGACACTGAAGCAGACCTAGTGATGTGGCCAGAAGCGCAACGTATAAAACAAGCCAAATCACATGCGCAATCATTTATATGTATGTCCCAGTGGGACAATCATCTGCACTTGTGCATACAAGTGCCATTGCGGGATGTTTGTTGGGAATATGTAGGTGTATCCAGAGTAGAAAACTCCGGACGGGCCAGTGGGCTGGGTTCTCCTTGCTCTCTTTGCAGCTCAGCCACTGATCTTTCACATGATCTTGGAAAAGTCACTTCAGCCCCTCCTCCTCCGCCTGCTCCGCAGCAGTCTGGCAGCTCCGACAGTCCACTCTCTCCTTAGTGCTCGTAGCTCCTTTCTGGGGCAGTGAGGGCTGGACACAACTCCCCTCCCTTGCTGGCCGCCCAGTGCAGCTGGTCGGTGGATGTGCTGCAGGGCAGACGGTTCCCGCGCAGCGCATCGCAACGTGGGGGCTCCCCGAATGCTGAAGTCTCTCCACACTCATCCTCCACCTGCTTTACAGGCTGCATCAGCTTTGTCCCCTCTAGGGCAGAGGGGCCAAGATGTGCCTCTGTGGCAGCTGTTGCTGAACTCTAAACGAAATCTCCAACCTCTTCTTACCCCCTGCGCTTGCTCTCCCAAAAAGCAGCACTGTTTGTTCCAAACACCTCGTGGCAGGAGATGACTCAGCCAGGCCCTTGTGCAGACAATGAGCGGGATGAAGGCACGCTGTGCTGCCATGACCTCATTTACAGTAATGCTAGCTGCTCACGACATCCCCACAGCTGCCTCTTTGAGCTCCTGGTGGTGCTCAGCCGTGCGGGGAAAGAGGGGGTGCTCTGTGTTTCATCACAGACCGGGCGGCGTGGACAGAGCCCAGCTAGCTTTGCAGCATTCAGCGCCGATGCCGGATTGTGTAAGTTCTGCATGTGTGCAGGAAGCTGGTAATTTTCCAGGGTAGGTAGCTGGGGAATTCTAGCCTGAGTCACTCAGTAGGAAAAAGAAATTAGTTTATTCAAATTAGCTTTATTCCCTCCCCCTAAACTTGCATGAGAAGATTCCTTTTTCTTTTTTTTCTCCACCTTGCAAAAGGATGCAGTGGTGACTGTCTTTCTAGGTACAGTCAGGACAAAGCAAGGAAGAGATTAGTAAGTGCTTGCATGCATAACACCCATAATACAGAGACAAATGAGCAGATGGCCGTTCCTAATCTAACTCCTAATCATCCTAACTGTCACCTAGCTCAGTAAAAAAGGAAAAATCTCTCATTGGCTCCACTTACTTCTTTACTAAGATCTCCTGGTGCTCTTGGATGACAATGATACTGTTTGAATATGCTGTACTCAGTAGAAAAGAGTTGGCAAACTGTATTTGCAGAGAAGAATTCCTCAGGTCTTCGTTCCAGGTTTGAAACCCGGCTCACATGCCGTAATTATGCTGCAGCATTACCATTACAGGCAAACTCCTGGGTTTTGCTCCCACTCTGCAGTTTGAGTCACAGTTTGAGTGAGTCACTTGTTCTCCCTGTGCCTCAGTTTCACCGCTATATAATATTGACTACCGGGGGCTGCTCTGAAACTGTAGAGAGCGCTAAAATAATGGGGCAAAAGGTGTCATCAAAACACAATTTACATTCTGGTAATGACCATGGGTCCCAGTTCAGATCTCAGCCCTGCTGCACTGAACAGTGTCTAGTCAGTGACTGACAATTCTTGGCCCATTATTATTATGAGCTCTTCTGATATAAAAAGGAAATGCAATTTGGGGATGGAGAGTGTGCATTTTCTATAATCAAATTTTTCCAGCTCAGCAACAGTAGAACCGGCCTGTCAAGACACATTACTGTCTGCAGAGAGGCTCTCCTCTCATTCCACCCACCAATGTCCCCTTTGTGGCAAAGAAAACAGGACTGAGACCCAAATTGTTCAAAATTGTTACCACAGAACACTGGCTTGAGCTTCCAACTTAAAACCAAAGGAACCAGTTCTCTCATCTTTGTCTCTCACGAACAACAACTGCGGAAGTACTAGGCTGTCACTCCAGCACACGCGCTATAGCCTTCTGCGTAGGCACAGCGATTCTCATCAGACAAAGGCTGCTCTCTTTTCCCTGCCCCACAATCCAAAAAAAAGCAAAGAAAGGAGAAACCAAGATTTTAATTCAAATCATACATTCTAAAACTGTTTTGTCAGACTTACTACTTCTACCACTTGAGACACTCAGAACGCTTTGGAGACTTTAACTCCTTGAGCCTTTGTTTTCTTATATCACATTGATTCAGGAAGGACCTGTGACCTGCTTTCATGAAGCAGCAGTCCCAAATCCAGAAGCCCTGACTCCACTGGTCCCTGCTCTCACTCTCAGGTGTTCACTACCTTTTGCAAGAGCCATGCAACCTTCTCCAAATAGATGTGGCCAAAAACATTCCTCTGATAATAGTCTGCCTCCAGTAAACCTGCCCCCGGGGCTGAGTCAGACCTGTGATGTTCACACAGAATTTCTGCAGATTATGCCCTTGATTAATTCCAGCCTGGAAAGACAGCAAATTTTACTCATCTTTTGAAAGAGATGGCAAGGGAAGTCTGGATGTCATCAACAGTCTCTCTCCTCTCCCTCTCCTAACCTCCGCCTTAAAATACACTGACAGATAAAACTGTCACCATCCAATTCTCTTCCGCATGTAATTCTCCCCTCCTGCAGGAGCGGGTTGCACAGATGCCCACGCGCACAGTTGCTGCACATAGATATAGCCAGCTGATGGGATGCATGTCCCTCTGAAAACCTCGGCTTTTGATTATAACTTCCATTACTGGAGGAAAACCTGGTAAGTGGCTGGTAATACATATGAGTGACATCAGGACACCTTACAAACCTTCAAACGCTCTTTTTGCAAATGCGAGGAGAGGTGAAGAGCTTGACAAATGGCAGGTTTTTCATTGCTGGCGAAATGAAACACAGCCAGCTCTAGACTTCAATCACAGAAGGTACAAGGGTAAGAAAAAGTTAAGATTACTCAGTTTTAACCTTTCTTTTTAAGTAGTTGTAAGCTACCTTTGAAGCAAATTGCTTTGCAAATACTGATTAATTTAACTTTACAATGTCTATCTTAAATAGTATCTTGGTTTACAGGTGGGGAAACCAAGGCAGAGAAGGGAAAAATAAACTGTTCAGAATCTGCAGCAGAACTAGGAACAAAACCCTCTCTCTGTGTTTTAACTACAAAAATCATCTTTCCTCATTAGCAGCTAATCAGAACTACCAGAGGGGAAGAGATTACAGACAGGGTGGAGAGGGGAGTAACTGAAAGAAATACAGACATCAAAACAGATTTTCATTTATTCATTCATTTATCACAATGAGGCACAGGCCTCAAGTTCCTTCAAGGCTGTGTTAGCTTTGCAGAATTTTGGGATGCCCTCTCCAAAATCCAAAAAGTTAATAGCTTAAAAGCCATGTGCTGTCTCAGGAAGGAGAAAATCTGCAATTTTGGGTTGGCCTCTGGAAGTCTTATATTGCTTTGCCTGCTAGATTATAAGAAACCACTAATCTTCACTTGCCAGCTTCCTAATCTTTATGGGAACCCAGATAAGTTATCAGAAACTTGCTTATTAAAAAGCACCCGACTTGCATCGCAGCAGATTGGATGATGATTTCTAGCAAATTTCAGACTCCAGCCTGCTATATGACGTGCAGGCAGGGAGCAGAGCTACATCCTGGCACGTGCAGCTCCCGAATCACCCAGCCCGGCTGGCCTGGAAGCAGCCCAGGTCCTCAGACATGCCGCAGAAAGGGCAGGGCGCAGGCAGCGTCCCTTTTTGCCTTCTCTCTGTGCTTTGCTAGGAGCAACCCTACTGATGTGAGCACATCTACGGGTGCAGGAACAGCGAGGTCCCCATGGCCCATGCAGCGGTCCGAGAAGGCCAAAAAGGACAACAAACACCATGAGACATTTGTTCTTTACCTCAACTGCATCCGCAACTTCATCGCGTGCTGGCTAAACGACGACAGCGCTAGGACTAGAGGGTCTGGCTGGATCAACCTCCCAGGGAAAAGCTCCACGTATCCTTTCTACTTCTTTGAACTTCTCCATACACATTCCTACCATCCTTCAGTAGGAAGGACTTTGTATATTTAAACACTGAAATAAACCCCCAGTGATTTTTTTCCTTTTTGCCCAAAAACGGTTTGCAAAAAGCTGAGTATTTTATTTACAAGGTAGGCCAAGAATCTCGAATCTTCAAACTTTCCTTTCTCTCATTATTTCATTTTGACTTTTCAGAAGTGAAGAGATAGTCAGGGCCCATGACTTATTCATCAGACCATAACTTACAGACACAACACAGAGCTGGTCTGAATCCTCCGAAAGGGACAAGCCTCTATAATTTATGTCTTTCCCTCGGGCTCCATGCGGACGCTGGGTCCCCCGCTGCAGTGCCACACAGCACTCTCGCTGTTGAGCAGATTAATTGTTTTCCCCAGGATGACTCACTTCCTCGCATCTCCTGCGCCTGACCCGATGGGAGAAACCTGCATGTGCTCCTCCTGCGGATGCTGCTGTCGAGACCCAACAGCGCAGCCTCGAGCATCACGACTGCCACACTAACAATTCCAGCTC